GGGGTCCCCTTTTCGCAGCCCTTTACAGCTCCAGGATGCCCGAGGCAGCTCCGGAGCCCTCTGCTCCGGGGACTTGCAGGAAGGATTGGAAGAAGACTGCGGAGCAGGGATTGGGAGCAGAGAAAGACAAGAGGCGAGGAAGAGGTGCTTCCTCGCCAGGAGCCGGGAAGCTGGTGGAGTGCTAGCCCGGGGGACTGGCGGGGAGGGGGGGAGGTAGGAAGCAGAAGTCACCTCTCTCAGCCCTAGTTCCTTAAATCTGTCTCGGAGAGTGACCCTAATTCTGCGTTCAGAGCGTTTAAGTGAACCAATGGCAAGAGGGCTCAAAGCTGTGTGGCCCCCACCGAGCTCTGGGGGTCCCTGTGTCGTGCTACTCGAGGAAAAAGACCACACCCGAGGGGCCTCAAAATCTAAAACCTCTGCGCTAGGCTGCAGAAAACATTTTACTTTCAACCGCTACTTTGAGGTGTGTGTCTTATCTCCCCCCATGAGTGAGAATGACTTCACTTTGCCCCAGGAGCTTTTCGTTCCCCATGGTCCAAGATTTTCCCTGAAAGCAATTTAAAGGTGGAGAAAACAATCACGGCACAGTGATGCTCCATTCTTTTGACTCCCTGGAAGAGGGGGGACAGGTAGGGGATCCCCCACTTTACAGATGGGGAAACTGAGGCCTAAAAGAGAAGCAGATGGCTCAAGGTCTCTGGGCCAACATTGAGCTAGCTGTAGTCAGAGCTCTCACTCAGCAGCACTACAGCTATCCGTGGCTGGGCTGGGCTCACGGTGACATGGGACCCCCTTTACGGCAGTGTTCTGTCTGATGCTCTCTGAAGACATACAGCCTGCTGATCCTGATTGTCCCAGAGTAAACCAAACAGAGCTCACTGTGTTCCCTGCTGTCCCAAGATTCCTGGATCTGATTTGCAAGCATTGGGGCCTGGAGTTTCCACTGTCACTTGGTGAGGAGAGTGACCCAGGCCAGGCCAACAAGCACAACTGAGGCTCTGAGAGCTCCAGGAAAGGTTGAGAGGCTGCGAGCCCAGAAGGTAAGGACCCCAAGACCTGAGTTTCCCCTTCAGCCCAGAACCTCCCCTACAAGACTTCAAGCAAGTCCCTTTGGCAATCTGGGCCTAGTTTCCTTCCAACTTGTATTTCCAAGATTTCCTTAGGGAGAAGAGCTAGTTACCTTTGCATCTGCATGAAGGGCATCTGGTTCAAGGGCTAAGAAGGAATTTCCCATAACTCCACGGATCCTCTCCTTTGTATTTACAAAACTTCTAAGGGCACTTCAAAGCTGAGGGCACTTCTAAATTCAGGAAAGTAATTCCTGGAGAAGAGCCGCATGGTTTTCTACAGATCACCAGCATTCTTCCCTCCCCCTAAAAACTGAACATAAAATGGGTTTTTCCAAAGGTGTATGCTGGGGATACTCTGAGGGCTGGAAGCAGGTGCAAAGGAGACGGAAATCACCCAGCATCCGCCCACGTCTACACTAACCCATCCCTTCTAAACTAGGAGAATAACCTCCAAGGGGCTGGAACACACTCTGTGGCTTTCAAATGGTTCTCAGTGGCATGTGCTACCCTCCACAAATGTTAAGGAACACTGTACCAGAGAAGAGGGAGGACTTGACCAGACAAAAGCAAAGAAACGCCCTGGCATCTTGAGGGATCTGTTAGCAGAGTTTTGATCCAAACGGTTAACTGTCCCAGTTCGTTCATCAAATCATTTACTTCGAATTTTGCATCGTGGATTTACAGACTCTTCAAAGTACAGAATTTTGAAATGTCTTACGAGAATAAAACATCTGTGGAATAGAATCTTTAGGATCCTTCTTTGTTCATGAAAATCTTGACCTTAGGAAGTAATAATCTCAGGATGCTAACGCTTGATCTGATGCACAGGTGTAGCTCTGTAGCAGCAAAGTCTGAGAAAAAGGAATCGGAACTCTAGAAGAATGGCTTCACAGATACAAAACATTGAGGATCAAGAAATTCCGAGACATGAGGCTTCTAGTCATAATCATTGGAGCTTAAAAGTAAAGAATCATAAAGACCAATCATTAAAGCATACAGTCATGACTATTATAGGAATTATCAGAATTAGAGTCTTCAAGTTACAGAATAGTGGAGCCAGTACTGACATCTTGTAATTCTTTGGATCCAGTACTAACATTCTGGAATTAAGGAAGAAGAGAGAAGTGCATTTATGCATTTATCTTCTAATCAGATGTTTCTAGAAAGGAATTCAAATTAAGTAATATATATCTCAGAGCTGTGAAAATATCTAAGAACTAAGGAAGCCACAGTTCCCGGTAGTGACATCATATTTTCAGACATAAAATCTTAGTTCCAAGCATCTCAAAATACAAGGAATTCGCTTTTACATTTTGAGCAGAAACTTAAAGTCATAGGAATATAATTACAGTTAAAGAATTTAGACTTCTGGCCATGGACACTTAAGAGTTACAGAATCGTATTATTTGATTTATGAAAACTTGTTGCGATAGTGATCCAAACTTAAAAATTTGGAAATCTGAATCTTGGAATTTTGGAAATACACGGAGCCACAAAATCGAGCGCTGAAAGATTGCTATGACGTAATCTGGCTAAAATAAATTTTTTTAAACTTTTTTTTTCCTTTTGCAAAAACGTAACAGGGTGAAATCTGGATTTTTGCTTTTTCGTTACTTTGGAAGAAGGAAACAGAGTTTTGCTGAACCAGTGAAAAAGCCCATCTCCAGTCATTCAAGCACCCATCCGCTGAGGAAGGTCTTCATGCAAACCATGCAACTGCTTCCAAACCCGGGTCGGCGGAGCGAGGATCTGAGTTCTCTGCCTCTTTCTACCGGAGGCAATTGCCTCAATGCTCCGCCGGGCGGAACCTACACCGGGCTCGCAGCCACCAAGGACGCGATTAAAATCCCTGAAGGCCCTGCGGTCCGCGCTCTTGAGACTCGCTCCGTCTCGCCCTACACACGCAGCCCTGCAGAAAGCTGCACCCGGACTAGAACCTCTGGGATGGGCGCCAAGACCCGGATTCCTAAAGGCAGAAAGGACTCCGAGGTCCGCATCTGCCCTCCCGCCCCCAATTCACGGAGCAGAAAATTGAGGCCCTGCTTCAGAGAAAGGACCCGCCCAAGGTCTACCCGCGCAAGACCACCAAGCGAACGCAGGCTAGCAGGGCGGCCGCCGCAGGGCGTCTCGAGTGAGGCCGGAGGTCCCACCTTGGGGGATGGCCGGAAACGAACTCAGAAACCGGACACCCGGGAAGCAAATGGATCCCCCCTGTGCCCGCCCCTTCCCCTGGAGACGCGCGCTCCTGGAGCACCCACACCTCAAGCCCCCTCCTCTCGCAGCCCTTGCGCCCCTCTTCGGGAAGGGGCTGCTCCGCTTCCCCCGGGGTTCTGGGAGCCACTTGGAGCCCTCCCTGGCCTGGGCGAACTGGAGGAGGAGGTTACCACGACAGCACAGAAGCCTAGCCTTCATCCTCTACAAGCCGTGCGCCACTTTCCTCCGAATTGAGGGGACCCAGGTCACCCAAAGACAGGTGATGGGGAGGGAGCTTTCCCTAAAAATTGGCAACGGAAGGTCTCTCGAGGTGCAAACACTCCGTGCAGTCCAGGAACCTGGGACCCAAATAGAGAAAGTGGCTGCCTCGGGCACAGATCGGGCGGGCGAAGCGCCTCTTAACACAGCCGAAGGTGTGAGGCTCCGTTAAGCGGCAAAGGTGAGGCTGGGGCAAGTCACCTCCCCGATCGGGCCTAGGAATCCTCGTCTGAAAGATGAGGGACAGGATGGGCAATGGGCAAGGCAGTTTTGGGGTTTGAAAATCACCCCTGAAATACCTTAAGCGCCAGCCGACTGGAAGGTCTTCTTCCTTCCCCATTCTCTGCTCCACAAGAACCAAGCACCCCCTCGGCCATTCCTCACCTCTCCCGACAAAAAAAAAAAAAAAAAAAAAGTGAAGCGAGCCGGGAGCCGGTCCTTTTCACCTGCGGGTCCCAGCCTGCTGCAGAGGTTAGTGAAGTCCGGGAGCGCTGAGTTCCCGCGCCAAGGTCTCCTGAGACAGTCCCTGGCCTCTCCAGGCCTCAGTCTCCCCGTCGGCGCGCAGGGGAGGCCAGCCCCAGCGAGCTCCGAGTGCCCTCCCCGCTCTGACGTTGTGGGGCTCCCGCCGCGCCTCCACAGCTGCTCCCACCTGCAAAGGTGCACCCGGGCCCAGGGGGCGGGCAGTCGGGGGGCGGGCGGGCACCGGGCGCCGCCCCGACCTTCCTGGCGCCTTTAAGGAGGAGAAGCCGGCGGAGGGAGGAGCCGGTCCGGGTGTGTGTAGGGGAGCGCCTCGCCTGCAGTTTCCGCGGCCGGAGGCCAACGGTGAAGAGAGGAACAGTCGCCGGCCTACCCGCCTGGCCCGCACCAGTGCTCATCTTGCCTCCTTGCCCTCCGCAGGCTGGGCCACAGAGGCGTCGCCTAGGCAGACGCCACCGGAGTGCCCCACGCCTGTCTCAACTGCCCTCGCTTCAGGCCTTCGGGCCCGGAGCCTCCTCTGGGCGCACGACTTCGAAGGTTAGCCTCAGATCAGCGGGAAGCACAGAGCAGCTGCAGGCGCCCCAGCCCCAGGACCGCTTCCGGACCCCTTGACCATCGGGCACCAGCGCGCAAAGGGCCCTTCAGCCCGCGATCGGGGCCTAGGCCCGGTCCCAACACCGCTGCCGGCGCCCGGCCTCGAGCTCCAGAACACGAGCAGAGCCGTCGGTGGGCGGGACACTCCTGAGCCTCTGTCTGCACCGAGCCAGCCCGGACACCGCGGGCACCGAGCCTCCCGGTCACCCCTGCTGCGGAAGCGGTGCGCTGGGTGCCAGCCCACGAGGCCTCCCAGCGCTCTCCGCAGTGGGGCCCAGTGCCCGCTCCCTTGGCCCTGCAGCCCAGCCTCTCGGCTTCCCAAATCCGCCCCCGCCCCTCGACAGCAGCGGGCGGCGGGGACACCCCGGGACGCGGGACGGCTGCGCCATGACGGCAGAGAGCCGGCCGCCGCCGCCGCAGACGGAGGCGCTGGCGGCCGTGAAGGAGGAGCGCGGTGAGCCTGGGACCGGGGTCCCGGCGGAGGCGGCGGGTCGCGGCGCGGGCGGGCGTCGGCGGAAGCGCCCCCTGCAGCGCGGAAAGCCGCCCTACAGCTACATCGCGCTCATTGCCATGGCCATCGCGCACGCGCCGGAGCGTCGCCTCACGCTGGGCGGCATCTACAAGTTCATCACCGAGCGTTTCCCCTTCTACCGCGACAACCCCAAAAAGTGGCAGAACAGCATCCGCCACAACCTGACGCTCAACGACTGTTTCCTCAAGATCCCGCGCGAGGCCGGCCGTCCAGGCAAGGGCAACTACTGGGCGCTCGACCCCAACGCCGAGGACATGTTCGAGAGCGGCAGCTTCCTGCGCCGCCGCAAGCGTTTCAAGCGCTCGGACCTCTCCACTTACCCAGCCTACATGCACGACGCGGCCGCCGCCGCCGCCGCAGCCGCCGCCGCCGCTGCCGCCGCCATATTCCCGGGCGCGGTGCCCGCTGCCCGCGCGCCTTACCCGGGCGCCGTCTACGCAGGCTATGCCCCGCCGTCGCTCGGCGCGCCGCCCCCAGTCTATTACCCCGCTGCGTCGCCAGGTCCGTGCCGCGTCTTCGGCCTGGTGCCTGAGCGGCCGCTTAGTCCTGAACTGGGCCCCGCGCCGTCGGGGCCCGCGGGCTCCTGCGCCTTTGCCTCGGCCGGCGCTTCCGCCGCCTCCACCGGCTACCAGCCTGCGGGCTGCGCTGGGGCCCGACCTGCCAATCCCTCCGCCTATGCGGCCGCCTACGCGGGCCCGGATGGCGCCTACCCGCAAGGGGCTGGCAGTGCCCTTTTCGCCGCGGCTGGCCGGTTGGCTGGGCCCGCCTCGCCCTCCGCGGGTGGCAGCGGTGGTGGCGTCGAAACCGCCGTGGACTTCTATGGGCGCACATCGCCCGGCCAGTTCGGAGCGCTGGCGCCCTGCTATAATCCTGGTGGGCAGCTCGGAGCGAGCAGTGGAGGCGCCTACCATGCTCGCCATGCGACTGCCTATCCCGGCGGTGTGGATCGATATGTGTCCGCCATGTGAGCCCAGCATACAGTCGGAAATTCCCAGATACCTCGGCTGTCCACACGAACTAAGTATCCCCAAGACCTGAGAACAGAACTGGAGAGAGGGTTGAGCGCCGCGTAGAAGGAACCGGTGCACTACACACACACACACCCGGTTCGCGTTTGAAATGGGAGGAGGTGGGGAGGGGCCGCGGTGGCCCACGGACTGGGACAAAGGACCCTCGATAAGGCAAAGTTCCAAAGGACATGTCGTTCTGACATTCTACTGGGGAGAGTCTTTGGCGATAATGGGGGCGCAGCGCAATGCCTACGCCAGACCCTAGGATCCACATTGTGGGGAATCACGTCTTCACTCTTCCCTATATTGCAAGAAACTCGGGCCTTTTTACACGATTCTGCCTCTTGTGCCTTTGATTAAGTTACTGTAACTAAAAGGCTCCAGTAGCATCTTCCTTAAGGTGCGGAGGATGAATTTGCCAGAGAAGTAGCCTCCCTCTTTAAAACAAACAAACAAACAAACAAACAAACAAACAACAGGGAAATCTCTGCTCCGTTTGACTGGGGGCTGTTTTTCCCTGCGTCTAAGAACTACAGACCTGACTCTCAGTCTGGACTGCTCGTGCCTCAGCTCTATAGTGTGACCTAAGTCTCACCGCCCAAACCCCTGTTCCCCCACCTGTTTGACAGGAGGGCTGCAGGATTGGCCCCCCGTGTGATCTTTAAGGGCCCCATTGTCGTTATAGATGCCGCCTTGCACATTTGGCAGCATAGGGGGGACCACCCAGGGCCTAGCCCTATTCCCAAGTACAGGAATAGAGGTCATGGCAACCGCCTAACCTAGAGTCTCTGGGTTGGTTCCAGGCAGCAAATATATTATAATTTCTTGAATCTTTTGAGCATGATGTGCTGATCATTTGGTAGTTGTTACTGTGAGGTCATAAATTCGGTTTCCTAATGAGGCAGGTAAAAATAAATTTTTCCATTGCCCACTCTTTCTTTTCATTAAGCAACCCCGCAATAAATTGGCAGACTAAAATTCAGAGAGACCACAGGAGTCAGGGGAGCCCTTTGGTGACAGCTCTCCGTTGGTCGAGCCGGCTCTTCCATCCCTGGCACGCTCTGCCGCATGAAAAGGAAAGAGAAAAAAAAATAATTGGGGCTGTCAGTGAAGTAAGCTTTAGAAAGAAACTGGATCTTTCACTTTGTTTTGTATCCGTTCGTTTTAAGCGTCAAGCTGACCAAAATCATAGAAAATCCAACCACTTTCTCACCATTCTCTTGGGAGATCTTACAAGTTTTTATTCTGGAGTGAACATTTCCAATGTTAAACACTCCGGAGGCTCGGTGTGCAGCTTTCAGATAAACCTGAGGATTCAGATGAACTGTTTTAATAAAAATCTTTGACCGAGTTCTGGCAAGAGATACTCAGCCCCTTTCTGTGTAGTTAACTTGCTAGGGAAGAGGTGGGGATTGTGTGAGAAGACTGAAAACCACTCATAATTTTTATTTTTAATTTTGTCAATTGCTCTATCTTGTTCACAAAGACATGTGAATGTGATGTGATTCTGTCCAGACGGGTATTTGTCTCAATCGGTACAGTCCAATAGAAGTGTAATGCAAACTACATGTGTAATTTAAAATTTTCTAGTAGCCATATTAATAAAAATTTTTAAAACAGCTGAGATTAACTAATACATTGTACTTAACCCGATATAGCCAAACTATCATTGGAACATACAATCAATATATAAATTGTGGAGATATTTTATCTTTTTTAGACTAAATCTTCCAAATCTGGAGTGCATTTACACTAGCAGCTCATCTAAATTTGGACTAGCCACAGGCCAGGTGCTCAGTAGCAGTACGTGGCTGATGGCTATTGTATTGGACACCACAGGTCTAGATGCTGGTCCTTCCTGACTTCAGTGGTGGTAAATGACCCTCTGGAGGCAGGAGGTAGCTGGAGCACTGACCTTGCTGCAGTGGGTCCAGGTTCCAGATCCAGCCCTGAGACTGCAAAACTCTGTTTGGGGCCTCTCTCATCTCCCTATGGACCCTTGCGGGAATGAAATTCGAAGGTTCTTCATGTGCAGCTTGACAATCTGGCTCTCCCAGCCCAGAAGTCAAGATGCTTTGCCTAGTTGGCAGTTACCAGGAAAACTGAGAGCCCTCCACCCAGGGGTTTTGTCCTTGGCTGGCAAGAGCCCAGACGTGGTATTCCGGCTGGGGAAGGGTGGTCTATATGCCCAGTTAGTGTGGGCGTTGACCCTTTGTTTTTTCAGTTACCAAGACCAGTGCTTTGGCCATTAACTGCCAGTCCCTTTTTCTCCACTGTCCAATTTGTGAATGGGAATTTGTGGCCACCTCAGAGAGTCCTCCTTTAAGTTAAAGGAGATGAGAGTTTACGGAAAAGCGCTTTGTGAATTATAAAGTGCTGGGCACAGGAGGGAGGAGAGGCTTTAATTTTTTAAAGCGCCGTCTTATCGAAGCCTCCTGGAGCGAGAAAGATGGGGTGGGAAAGTGAACGCATCTTCCCCTCCCTTCTCCCTTTTGTCAACTAGGACGTCAGGTGTGGTTATGCCCTAGAAGAGGGTCTGGCCTGGAGAGGGAGGACACCGGGAGCAGGGAACGGGGTGTGCGCAGCGGGAGCCAGCCGGGAGAGACGGGGAGACGCGGGAGGGTTGGATCAAGGCGTTGAAGACAGACCGTCAGCGCTTCTCGGCCTCTCTCTCCATGGGCCTCGGACACCCGAAGCTCGAGCGCCATCCGGCCTGCCTGGAATAGAAGCTGCGCAGGCGAGGGAGCGCCGCTCCGGCTTCAACCACAGTCCGCGGGACTCGAGATCTTGAGAACATTTCACTGCGGGGTCTTGGAATATTCCAACTCTAGGAATCCCCAAACCGTGGAACAGAACCTCCCTGTTCCCCCATCTGGGGGCTCAGAAACGCGAGGTATGTTTCTCTTTTTCTTCTTCCTTTAATGAAACTAGAAAAATCATTTGCCCCTCTCTGGGCCCTGCACCCCCAGCGTCGTGTGCAGGCGCCCCAGGGCTGTGGGTAATTAGATGCGTTCTTCCCTAATTGCCCAAGGCTCGTCAGAATTCGCCCCAGAGCTGTAACATTTATTTTCTTTCAAATTAACTTTGCTTTGCAATTAAGTTTAGGAAACCAGCAACAAAAGCAGACTTGGCCTGAGGTCGTTTACTACGAAAACGGATTAGGGAGACTTCTCCCCCAATTTACAGGGAAAGATTCCTGCGGCCAGCGTTTGGGGGAAGTGTCCCGACAGCAAAGGCGGAGGGGGAGCAGGAAGCTGCTGGCGGCCGTTGTGGATGGTAACCGGCTTTGGCCTTCTTCCCCATCTCCGTGATTCCTGTGCCCAGAGGAATAAGAGTAACGTCGTTGAAATAAATTAGGGAGGGTTAAAGCCGACCTACACACCCATGACACGAAGCTGATGTATATAGTTAGTTTACCTAGCACGGTTCATAAACATAATCTCATTTACTAAGAACTTTGTGAGAATGTTTTATTAAATTGTATTCTTATTACAAAAATTGGTACATCTTCATTGTAAAAGAAAAAAAACAAAAACAAGTTAGAAAGAAAGAAATCAAAGGAACCCATAGTTGGCCCAGAGAAAGCACAGCAAACACCTCAATGAGTATTTTCTAGTTCTCTTTTTTGTTTTTCCTATGCAGGAGGCCTAAGTCTCAACTTTTGTCCTGAAAGGCTGTGAGATCTTGAACAATTTCCTTCCTACACTGAGTAGGCCTCATTCTGACCTGCTACAAAACTAGGGGGCAGGTCCCCTTTACTCTCACATTCTTTTTTTTTTTTAACATTATTTATTTATTTGATAGAGACCACAAGTAGGCAGAGAGGCAGGCAGAGAGAGGAAGGGAAGCAGGCTCCCCACTGAGCAGAGAGCCTGATGTGGGGCTCGATCCCAGGACCCTGGAACCCCGGGACCATGACCCGAGCCGAGCCGAAGGCAGAGGCCTTAACCCACTGAGCCACCCAGGCGCCCCTACTCTCACATTCTTGATCTTCTCTGTTCTGGGTCACTTGAATCCTGGATGCGACTGAAGCCTTGCAACTTCAAGTGTTGGACATACACCAGCTGCAGGGACATCCCCTGGGAGCTCACTGCAAATGCAGAAGCTCAGGTCCTACCCCAGATCTTTAGACCAGAACCTGCATTTCAGCAAGACCCTCAGGTGATTCATATGCCCTAGGCAAAGAGGCAGAAATTTAGAGAAATGAAAAAAAAAAATGCATTATGTTGTCAAGATCAGAGATCCCAGAGTAACTTCCAGGAACCTCCTGTTCCTGACCAAGAACCCCAACCAGTGATCCCAGCGCTACTCTGAGGCTCTGGCTGCACAGGGGAGCAAGGTGGGCTGCAAGGGAGGAAGGCCTGGTGGAGCACTTCATCTCCTCCCTGGCTTGTACTTTCTGAGTCTTGGAATTTAGCCCTAGTGCATCTCACCTTATGTCCCCAGCCTTAAGGCTGAACTGTGACCTGGCATTCAATGAGGTTATACCTGAAAGCATCTTGAAAGCTGGGGTGCCAGTTAGAGCCAGGGCTGGAAGATCTTGGATTCTGGTCTCTATAACCTCCCTAAGCAGAAGCCATTTCCCAAGTATGGAATAAACTTGGTCTCTGTTCCCTCAGCTCTAGCCCCAAATTTGGGAGTAGTTAGGGATTCTGGAGAAAAATAACGCTCTCTTCTTGGGACACAGTAGCCCCAGCAGGAAGGAAACCCCATCTCTGAGTTTGTCCTGGCCAAGGGATCCTCCAGTACAGCCTTTAAGTGCCCCTTGGACAGCCTAAGATTCTGGACACTCTAATGAATTCTGTCCTGCCTCAAATACACACCTTTCAGGAGAATTTGGTTTCCATGCTCATTTTGTTCCTGAATGGAGCTGACTCCTGGTAACTAAGAAAAAACATCCCTGATGAAAAGCAGTTCAGACAGAGGGCATGTCTCATGAAGAATGGGGTTTGGGGTGC